AGCATCTGGAAATTCAAGTACCTACCTTTGTGTGTGCTTAGTCACTCAGTCGTGTCTGACTCTTTGTGATCCCATGGACTATAGCCCACCAGTCTCCTCTGTCCATGGACTTCTCCGTGTGAGAATACTGGAGAAGGTTGCCATGCCCTCAACCAGAAGATCTTTCCAACCCAGGGATTGTACCCAGATTCCCTGCATTGCAGGCAGATTCTTTACCACCTGAGCCACCACGGAAGCCCACCTACACTTGAGACTTCCAATAATATAATCAAAGGTGAAACAAATGCTTAGTAGGAACTGTAAACATTTGAAAATGAGGGGGTCATTCTAGGGAATTTGTTGTATCACAGGGAGAAAAATAGTACCTGCCTTCACTTGAAAATGCCAAGTGAGTAACATCTGGCCTTACCCCCAGCAGCAGCAGTCCCTAGATGCCACACCACTGTGTGGTTTGCAGGCATTGGGGTCACCAAGGCAGACATGACTCACACAAACACTGTGTGAGCACCACTTTCCTCACCTGGAGGAGGGGCAGAGCAAGGTCAACTTCAATAGTGAGCACCAGTCCCCCAGGCCCCATCCCACATATGCACACCCTTCTTGTGCTGCAGCAAAGAGTCTTCTTCCCTCCCCGCAGAACAAAAATAGCAGTGGGTTGGCCAGATGCCCTATCATGCACCACACTTAAGCAGAATAAAAAAAGTATACATCAGGTCCAGAACAGGTCAAAGATTCCTGAACAGAAAGAAATGCCCAGCAGAGGCTGAAAGAGTTCTTTATCTCTTTGCAATAAAATGTTTCAGGCCCAGGGCCGATCTTAGGCATCTGTGTAGGGATTGAAGGACTGCACTCATGAAATTGTCTTTCCCCATGTAAAATGTAATGACTGTCTCAGTACTATTTTATAATAACTGAGGACCAGACAATTAACTGAAGTTTCTCTCTCAAACCCTACCCCCATGCCTCCTTTCCTATTGCTGGGCCCGTTCACCGTTTAGGAAGCAGAAATACCTTTCTGTACAGCTGTTCCTTAGGAGAAAGTTTAATATAGCTATGGGAGAAAAAAAAAAGTGGTTTCATGGTTTAAAATATGCTCTTCAGAGTTACATCAAAGAAAATAGTCTTGAATGATAAACTATATTCAGCCTGTATGAACCAGATGGTTAAGATAGAAAAGTTATTTTGTTTGTTGGTTTTGCATTCTTGAAACTTGGTTTTCAATACATAGAGACAAATTTTAAAATCAGTAAAATTCAAGGTTTCCCTAGAATAAAATTTAAGTTTCAGTTAAATTAGCTGCTATAACAAACTCCAAGTTCACATGGCTTAAGGCCAGGGACACCTTCTGACCTGGTGGCTCATGCTCTGGCGTCGTATCTTTTGGCTTTTTCATGCTGCTCATGGGTTCTCGTGGCAAGAATACTGGAGTGGTTTGCTGTTGCCTCCTACTCTTCCTTCAGCTGATGCTGAAGCTCCAATACTGATGTGAAGAGCCGACTCATTGGAAAAGCCCCTGATTCTGGGAAAGATTGCAGGCAAAAGGAGAAGGGGGCAGGTAGAGGATGTGCAAGATAGCACTGCTCAAAGGACATGAATTTGAGCAAACATTGGGAGACAGTGGAGGACAGAGGAGCCTGAAGTGCTGCTGTTCATGGGACCACAAAGAGTTGGATGTGAGTTAGCACCTGAACAGCAACAGCAACAAAGGCCAGAGAAGTTTACTTTTATGAATGAGTAAAAGTCCAGTGAGTGTGTTCCTAATTGGTAAATGGAGGAGGCGCTATGCTCATCGTAGTGAATCATGGATACCAGGCTGAAAGAGGATTTGTCTTTTTAAACCTGTGTCTTTTTATTTATATGGACTGCCCTTGTGGCTCAGCTGGTAAAGATTCCATCTGCAATGTGGGAGACCTGGGTTCAACCCCTGGGTTGGGAAGACCCCCTAGAGAAGGGAAAGGCTACCCACTCCAGTATTCTGTCCTGGAGAATTCCATGGACTGTATAGTCCATGGGGTTGCAAAGAGTTGGACACGACTGAGCTACTATTACTTCACTTTCACATTTTATATCACCATGGGTTTTGATATCTGGCCAAGAGTAAGGGGAAGAAAATGTTGAGCCTCTTCAGGTGTTTCTTAACTGCTGGTCGGGAAAAAAAGGAAAAAAAAAAGTGAATGTCCTCCATTTACTTATATGGCAGAATGGCCCCAGCTGGATGGAGCAAGAGCTGGTATCAATTCTTTTCTCTGGAAGAGAAATGAGCTGGGAAGTACACAAACTGATTCGATTCTTAGCAGTGAAACTGCAGTAGAGAAGGCCAAAAGAAGCTAATACATGGGTTGAGGGTTTGGAGAGCAGAAGGGGTTTGTGCCCAAATTCCTGTGTGGAACTCAGAGGAGGTGACATCATCTCATGAAGCCTTCAGTGATAACACGGTATCACAAGTGTTAAGGGGGCACAAGTGGAGCAGAAGTGGTAGCAAGTTTGTTCCAATCAGAGGCAAAGGTTGAAATAACCCCATCCTCGATCTACCAGAAGCCCTTATGATGCAGAAAAGCCCCTGACGATAGCTTGTCCCACTCCATACTGATGGCAAGGCAGGCCCCAGCGGCTGCCCCATCATGAAAACCAGGACACAGAATAATCAGCATGAACTGTGACTGAAGAACAGGGTGTGGCTTAGATATGAACACCAGGTCTGCAGGGATGTCTGCTGACAACCAAGGTTGTGCTTGTGTTGGTAGGTTTAGATTTTCCTCTCCTGAGAAAATAGTTCATTTAAATAGAGGTGCGCGCATGCTTCAGTTGTGTCTGACTCTTTGCAATCCTATGAACTGTAGACCACCAGGCTTCTCTGTCTATGGGATTCTCCAGGCTAGAATCCTGGAGCGGGTTGCCATGACCTCCTCCAGGGGATCTTCCGGACCCAGGGATTGAACCCAGTCTTTTATGTTTTCTGCTTTGGCAGGCAGGTTCTTTATCACTAGCACTACCTGGGAAGCCCTTAAATAGAGGTACAGAGAAAAGTAATGAAAAGAAAAGGTCATTTGTATGTGCAGTAGCGTTTTGGTGACTTGAAATACCTGCCGCATCTGGATTCTGAATAATGCTGCATAAGTAACTGTCTCAGAAACTCTCAGTTTTAAATATTTTTTTTTTCCATCAAAACTCGACAGTTGGAAAAGGATATGGTTTCAGGTTCACCTTTCCATTTCAGAATTTTATTTAGTAAGACTCTTTAGTCATTAAATCAATATTAGTTTCTGCAGCATAATCAAGTTGAGCCTCACATATACGAGATGACTGTTTTCTGTCCTCTTCCATGACACCTTAAAACATTTGCTATTTTTCTCCCAGTTGGCAGCCAAGTATTATTTCCACTCACAAGTTGTTACTTTTAGCTGATTATGAAGAAGGATTCCTCTCATGGCTGGTGGCCTTCGGGCCTGTCACTCAACTGCCACAAAAGGGGCTGTCCAAGATATCTGTCTTTAAGTACCCAAAACTTTTTTTTCTTAAATTTGGCTTTGTTGGGTCTTAGTGGCAGCATCTGGGATCTTAATTGCTGAGTGCTGGGTCTTTGCTGCAGCCTGTGGGATCTTTAGTTGTACCATCTAGTTTCCTGACCAGGGACAGAAACCAAGTCTCCTGCAATATGAGCGTGGAGTCTTAACCACCATACCCCCAGGGAGGTCCCAAGTGCCCACACCTTTCTCAGATGTTTTGAGAGACTTACCACTCCCTTTTCACCTTCAAATGGACCACCTTTGAATCCGTCCATGAAGTTGCCTTTTTCTCTCTAAGTGCCTACAAACAGTTGTCTCTGATGTATTATTGCCATAGCACTTCTAAAGTGTATACTTTAAACAATTTTTAAGTCAGACCATCACATATAGACACAACAAATTTGGTAAAAATACATCTGGGTATTTTTCCATGATGGCCAAATAGACAAGAGTTTAATTATTTCTGTATAGATTCACTCAAGCTAATAACCATGTAGCCTATATCATTTGTAAATATTGATAACTTTGGATCTTTTCTCTGCCCATTTAACTCTTCATTACCCCTTCAACATCAAACCTTTCTATTCCAAGTGTTATGTTTCATTCCAAAATAGATTTCTCTTTTATATACATTTTTATTGTGTGTATAAGAAACACCATTTAACTGACTTTGTCATTTCCCTGGGAATTAATTATAAATCATTACTAAAGATTCTTCAGAGCAAGAGTCATTTGTATTATTTTAAATCTTCCAAACAGTGTTAAATTGATATCATCTTGCAGACTAGTCAGGGCACACAAAAGAATAAAATTGAATGTGGCATTAGCCAGTATGTTACTACTAGCTCCTTTTGAAGGACAAGGATGTATCTATAAAATAGAAACACATGACTCATCAATACAATTATGACATTTTGAGGCTCTGTGCAAAGCAGTCCTGCTATCATAATCTGAATAAGTCTTTATTAAGTATCTAATTAAGCACATTTTTTGATAAGAGAAAACAAAAACATGTGATCTCAAAAGTTATAATTTTTCACTTTAATATAAATCTAGTGTGAAGAAAAGAGTGATGCAGTATTGTGTTTACTGCAGGGAGTAGGACTTGAAATTTTCATAACTTCTTACCCTCAAAAAAGATGCTCTTGATCACAGTTTAGTTTTTACATGAAGACTGTTGACAATAACTTCATAGTACTCACCTAGGTAATCAGCTGCCTTGTAAATGAGATGTCTTTTCTTCTAGAGTTTATATTGAGTTCTAAATTTCATAATAAATGCCACTAAGACATTGTTTCTTACAAATAAAATATTTTTAATGAGCTAGTTCCTCAGTTTGTCATCATGTTTGCTTCCTGACAAATTTCTGCCAGTTGCTACTTCAAAGGAATAGCACTTCTTTAAGGATAGATAGCTTGATACCAACTCAACCGCAAGATACTGACTCAAAAAGATTTAACAAGACAGTGAAAACATCCTTCTTTTTATTGAGATGTACATAGCTAGAGAATAATAATTACAATCCAGATAGAATTAGGAACCATTTGGTAGAAAATGTCAAAATTCATTCCAAACTCCTTAGGTAAAAGGAGAATTTACTGGGTTTATTAAGTATAGGAAGGGAATTGGTAAAAGCTCAATGGCACCAGAACTGAGAAATCAAGGCAAACTGTACCCCATTTCCAATTCTCATCTCTGCTTCTTCCTATATGTTGTCTTCATTCTTTCTGATCAGCTTCACCACAAGAGAATAATCGTTTTGGCACCAAATTGAAAATTTCAACCTAAGGGCTTCAATTGACATTCCATGGATCGAATACTCATCTGTTGCTGACCAGTGATGACTGGATTAGCAGGAGCCTGTTAATGGAGCACCTGTCACAAGCAAACAGTTAGAGTTGGAATAGGGGTAAGTGAATCTTATTTGGCATAGCAAGTAATAGATGATCACTGTTAGAACTTACACACACTTGAAATCAGTAATAAAAGACTGTGTATACTCACACTAATAATAAACTATATCTTCATTTTTGGCTCAATATTCAAAAAATTAAATGAGTGGCACATGTTTGTAATTATCTAATACAGAGAACAAGATATGAAAGATCACTTCAAAACTATCTGATGTGATGACCTCATTGCTTAAGTTTTCTCTTTGTGCTGTAAAGCCACTGATCATAACTGTTTTAAATATATGTTTAAGTATTAGAACAAAAGATCACTTACAATTTTGTCTATCAAAAAAAAATGTTGAGCTTAGTAAAGAATTCATATCCTTTGTTAAAAAGATAATGTAAAGCAGAAGGGCTCTCATTTTGATAGCTATTTAGGAGATCAGTAAAACGAAGATCTAATCTAAGTAAAAATTAGCAGAAAATAATACTCATGTTACAATTCACTGAAGTTTCAGTTATTTCAAAATGATTTTTCTGTTAAGGTCAGACACACATCCATGAATAATTATAAACAGAGTATCTTGAAATATCAATATGGATCATGAATGCAAGAAAAAGTACTTGTCATTCAACACTATATTTTTCTCCTTAGCCTAACCAGAAAGAGGTATATTTTCTCATGAAAATGTTTTTCATTTCATTTTCATCAGCATTTTCCAGGTTTTCTTTTCATCGAACAAATGTCACCTTATTCACTATTGCAGACTATGCAGATTTGCAGATGTTTACTTTTAGAAAGTAAAACACACTTTAGTGAGCAACTTTTTAAAATAAAATATAGTTTGATTAACCTTCCTTCGGAGGATTCATTCATCTAGAAATATTGATGCATTCTTGACAGGTTCTGCCCTGTCCCAGTGAGAGGTAGAGGGTTGAATATGAAATAGTCAATCAAGATAAAGAGTGTTGGACTTCTCTGGTGGCTCAGTGGTAAAGAATCTGCCTAAAATGCAGGAGACAGGGGTTTGATCCCTGGTCCAGGAAGATCCCACATGCCTTGGAGCAACTCAGCCTACATGCCACAACACTGAAGCCCGTGCTCCAGAGCCTGTGCCCTGCGATAAGAGAAGCCACAGCAATGAGAAGCCCACACACCACAAGTGGAGAGTAGCCCCTGCTCGCCACAACGAGAGAAAGCTCATGCACAGCAATGAAGATCCAATGCAACCAAAAAAAAAAAAAAAAGATAAACAGCGTTAAGAGAAAGAGACTCCTTTAGCCTCATTCTGCCTCAAAACCTCCCCATTAGCAGTGAGCCCTCCACGTGATTCAGCTGGTTGGGGCCACAGGGGAGTAGAAGACCCACAGTGGCTGCTCTAGTCTGATGCTTTAAGACCTTGAATGGCCCAGGGAAATACTTAACAAAAAGTGTGGACAATGAGGCTTATTGTTCTGTCTGCCTCCATCAAATAAGCAATTGTCAAATCTCTCCTTTGATTTGTGTGAAATTTGCATGTAGTCACAAGACAGGCAGACCATTACAATGGGAGTCTAGAATCTGGGGTGTCTTCTTCCCAATTTTGCCAGACTTAGAGTGTGTCTCTAGAAAGGCTCATCAGCCAATACTCATTTTTGAGAACTTTTGCTGTGAAGGGCAAGTACAGATATGGAGTAGAACCTTGTGCGGAATTTAGATCTATATTTTTTCCTTTTGCTTTTGTTTTGCTTTCTTTCTAAGCTGAGAGATATGATAGCATGTTTGCAGGATTCATGGAAATAATCCATGGGAGAGGAAGAGAGTAATAATGCTGGTGAGGAAATGGAAAACTGCAGGAGCAAATCTCTGAAAAGGTGAAAAAGATTCTGAAGTACAAGTGAGGGGTGGGATTTACAGGAGAAGGGGATCACTCCCCCCTGAACAGGGAGGGTAGCAATAGGGCAGAGGTGGGTACAACTCGCAACCTCTCAACATGGTAATGGGGAGAGATGGAAGTGCCCATTCCACAGCTTTTATTGTCTTGTTCAGTGAGGTGTGAGACACTTAGACTTTCTGCAAGACTATGACCAGAATAAGGGAGGTTTTAGAAGTGAGAAGAAGGCAGGCAGTAAACAATTAGGACAGTGTTTCTCAAATTATTTGAGAAAAGATCATTTATTTATCTTTAAAAATCTCCCATATTCTTTTTTTTAAAGTTTCTTATTTTTAGTTTTTGTTGGAATATAATTGCTTTACAATGTATTAGCATTTACTGTACAATAAGGTGAATCAGCTATATGTATACATATATCCCCTCCCAGGTCATCCCATCCATCATCACAGAGTACCAAGCTGAGCTTCCTATGCTTTACGGCAATTTCCTGTTAGAATAAACCCTGAGAAAACCATAAATCAAAAGGACATGTGTACATCATCCTTGACTGCAACACTATTTACAATATCCAGGACATGGAAACAACCTAAAAATGTCTAATGACATATGAATGGATAAAGAAGATGTGGGACATGGATACAATGGAATATTCTGGGCTCTGCTATTCTTACTCATGCCCAGCTCTTTGTGACCCTATGGAGTGTAGCCTGCCAGTCTTCTCTCTGTCCACGGAATTTTCCAGGCAAGAATACTGGAGGTGGTTGCCATTTCCCACATCAGGTGATGTTCCCAACCCAGGGTCCAAACCCAAGTCTCCTGTGTCTCCTGCATTGGCAGGTGGATTCTTTATCACTGTGCCACATAGGAAGCCCAGTGGAATATTACTCGATCACTAAAAGGAATGAAATAGCCTCTGTAGAAACGTGGATGGATCTAGGGTCTGTCATACTGTGTGAACCAAGAGAGAAAAAGCAAATGTTGTATATTAACACATATATGTATGTGTAATCTAGAAAAAAAAAAAATGGTACAGATGAACCTATTTCCAGGGCAGGAGTAGAGACACAGCCGAGAGGTAGAGAAAGGACATGGGGACACAGAGATGGTGGGAGAAGGGGAGGAAGGGACAATTTGGGAGATTAGGATTGACATATATATACCATGTGTAAAATAGGTCATTTATTTTACTTTCCAATCTATCATGTGCATATACTTTTATAAAATATAATAAAAATAAAATGCTGAATTAAGTTTTTAAAAAGTCAGACAAAATACAAGCCAAATTATTTTAACTTCATATTCAAGACAATTAGACTTACTCCTTAAAATTACTTTAAAAGTTTGCAAACCCTTCTTATCAGTTTCTAAACTTCAGTTGTCATTAACATGAATAAACTGTTCACAAATAAGTTCATGTTTGTACCCTAAAGAGCACAGATCTAGGAGAGAGAGACTCAGAGCTCACTAGGAATATATTAGAATCTCTCAGTAATGTTACACAAATTTTTGTTTTGTTATTATGAACTAAAAATAAAGCCAGATATTCCAATTATATGATTTTTCTCTGCAGAATTTAACTGTTTGGGATGTGGACAGGAACAAGTTGAATGATTGGATTCAGCAGGAATTGAACTGTTTCAGGTGGAGGACCTCAGAGATCAAAGGTGATAAGCACCTTTGCAAGAGCAAAATACCATGGAATATAAATTGAGTGAAGCTAGAAGAGGGATGATGAACAGTGAGAAAATTATAGGATTAGTGGACCAGCAGTTTCAATGACATTGAGGAATCATATCAGTGGGACTGGATGGTGACAGATGTTGGGAAGAGAGTGAAATGTTTGAAATTATGCTTTCAGAGCTTCTAGGGAAGCAATGGCTAAGATGTGATGATTTTAGTAGCTAGCAGAAATGAGAGAAACACCATTACAGAGACTTTATTCCAAGGTGGACAAAGGGTCTTCCTCATGGAGATGAAGTCATCATGAATGACAATGGGAGTAAGATAGAGAAAATGACTTTGAGTCAAGAACTATAAAAGGAAGAAAAATTCACAGAGAAATGGAAGAGATGACAGTAAATATTATCATGAGTATCAAAAAAAATAGCAAAGATTGGCAAGATAGAATAGAAATTATCTGCAATCGGCAATATGAAGAAAAAAGGAAACCAACTCCATTTTCTAATCAGAAGTACTTGGAGTGTCAAAACAAACTAAACTAAAAAACAAACCTTCATTCTACAGAGAAAGCAGAGTACTTAAAACCTTATTAATCAAACAACAAGAGTCCCAGAGGGTGTAAAGAAAAGGATTCTATGTGTTTAATTCCAGTCATGGCCAGCTAGTTCCACAGTCATGATCCCTTCCGTCCCCCCACCAATGGAATCAGAAATAAAGTAAAACATACTGCTGAAACGTATGTTTAAAAAAAGGTAAAGTCATGGTTGATGACATTATTCTTCAATAATGACACATTTTGATAAAATGCTTGGATGCTAAAAGACTAGAGATATTTTATAGTCTCATTTCAATAACAAAGTGACTGAAAAATATTAATCACATGAATTATGATGGATAGTTGACATAGGAATTATATATTCACTCAAATAAAGAGAGTTTCAGCTAAATAAAGTGTGGTGCTTATGCTGACAAAATGATAAAAAGAATCTTAACTATGCAATTAGTTTTTTCTGTTTACTATTTTACAAATGTTTTTCACTAAAAATAAAACATGATAAATATGATGTTCTTTGTTTTATTATTTTGGTCATTATTTCCCCATCAAACTATAGAAATAAAGTATCAGTTTAGTTCAGTTCAGTCGCTCAGTCGTGTCCGACTCTTTGCAACCCCATGAATTAATTGCAGCACGCCAGGCCTCCCTATCCATCACCAACTCCTGGAATTTACTCAAACTCATGTCCATTGAGTCCGTGATGCTTTCCAATCATCTCATCCTCTGTCGTCCCCTTCTCCTCCTGCCCCCAATCCTTCCCAGCATTAGGGTCTTTTCCAATGAGTCAGCTCTTCACATCAGGTAGCCAAAGTATTGGAGTTTCAGCTTCAACATCAGTCCTTCCAATGAACACTCAGGTCTGATCTCCTTTAG